TATATCGAAATTATCTCGATATTGCTTACAAATTAATAGTTTTTTGGTTCAGGACCTATTATTTGGAAAAGATTGTGAAGTACATGATTTGAATAAGAATCGGAGTATACCTATAGATGGAGAATTCCACAAGAAGTACGAGAAATACTTTGGGTGGCTAGACTTCCAAATAGCTGGTCTAGCTAGTATTTCAGCTATTTTATTTTTTTATTGCTTAGATGGGTGGACGAGCTCACAGCCCACCTTGTGTTAAGTGGTTACTGGAGCCCATAGACATCCACAACGTAAATGCGCCACCCACCTTGAGATATAAGTTCTAAGGTCTCAAGTATAGTTATAATGGCTGCCTCACCCTTCAAACCGAAACGCATTACTACTTCACGGCAGAAATAGGCAGGGTGGTAGTACCCACCCGTGTAGACTCACAAGAGGTCCTACCACCAGTAATTACGCAAATTATTATTTTGAAGATTTCATTTTTATCACACGATGTTATTCCTTCACCGTGGAAATCAATCGTGAACGTTGAGTGTTGTTGAGTACGTATTTCATTACAAAAATTGGTACCCGCCTGATATTCGAACACCGGTGCATCGCTCAACACGATTGCACCGGACGTCCGTTAGGCCACGACGACTTTAAAAATATAAAATAAAAAATAAATAAAAAATATAAAAATTTCGGCGTTAATTTTTCGCGGCGAAAACAACTAAACTCATTTAATCACTGCACTATTCGCCGCGACTACCGCTCGACTCCGTGGCTCGCGCCGTCCGTATTCATGCATTTGTTTTGCTCGCCCGCCGCATCGCGCGATTCGCTCGGTACATTTCGCCGGTCGCTTCGCCGGTCGCCGGTGCGCGTGGCTTGTTAGGTACATTTCTATGCGCTTGTTTTAGTCGCTAGACGCTTCGCCGTTCGCACCGCGCGAATATTCGCATCGGCGAATGTCCCGTGGCCAGGCTGTTAGTGATTTAAAATTCTCTGCTGCCTCGAGGTTTCCTTCTATTTTAGTTTCGAATATTTGATTTGTAGAACAGAAAGATACAGTTTTCTTCACACATGAGGTCTTTGTTCGTTTGTACTTGTAATAAAATAACTTGTAATAACATAAACTTTTTATCCTTCCTTGTCTATATATATACGAAGTTGCATCTTTTGTTCAAACGTGTCCCAATAGATTTACCAAGATGTCTAATGTGGCAAACAGAAATCGACGCGACGATAAACTATGTTTTCCAAAATCCAAACTACAATAAAGAATAATAGTATATTAGGTAAATGAGCGTTAGGATATTTAATAAACTACCAAAGAAATTAAGAGATGTAGATGATTTTCATTTTAAGAAAAAACTAAAAGATAATCCCATTAGTGAAAATTATTATCACATAAATGATTTTCTTACGGACGACATTGAAAATAAATGGATTTTTTAATTATTAGTTGAGTTATGGATTAATTAATGGTAAATTATATAATATTATAATATCTTGCAATGCACTAAAATTCGCATGTCAAATAATGACAAAGCATACACGCTGCTTTTAACTTATGTAGTACCTAACTCATTTTCACTATGCTTGGCGAATAACTGATTTCTTTCTTTCTTTCTTTCTTTAGGGGCAATGTGATTTACGCTAGAGACTTTCATTTTCATTCATCCCGGTAAGCTTCGAACGAATTGTACCAAGTTAGCCCATTTAGGACAAAGTGAAAATATTTCTAAACCAATTTGCTGTGTCACTAGCATTACCGATTTCCATTGACCTATGTGACTATCAGGTGGGCAGTATCCACGTTTGCTGTAGATTTATTAAAAATATATATATTGAGAGATGAAAAGCTATTTGGTTTAAGCGAAATTTGCTTAATTGAGGCCTCTAAAATAAGGCAGCTAAATGCCTTAATGTACTAAAATGTATTTATTAACTATGGCGCCATCTTGTTTAGTTAGTTGGACACGCTTTAGTATTTTCATGTTATAACAAACGCAGCTAAATCTCTAGCAAATTCAGTTCAAATTTTTAATTTTTACTCTGTACTCAAATATAAACGAAGGTTTATCATTTAAAATTCAGATTATTAGTAATATTCTCATTCTTTATAAATCTGCTTTAAAATAAAGAATATCGTACGTAACTACCCGAACAAAATTATTTCAGCTTCTCAAACTCCCGATTGCTAACACTGGCCCTAGCAATAGCAGTACTTCGATGGATCGGGAGGATCCTTAATGACGTGTTTAGGGCCGATTTTTGTAGTTTACCTGAATATTTGACAGATTTAGATTTAGCTGCCTTTGATTTTATAGGCCTCAACTCTTCTTCTTCATCGTTCCCTCATTGCTGACGACCGCGACCACATGTGACTTTCCTCCACAGTGTTGGATCATGGGTGGCATGAACCGTATGGTATAGACTACCACCAGCCGCTTCCTTTACCAGATCTGACCATGTGGCTGATGTTCTGACCACGGCACGCTTGCCCTCTATGAGACCCGAAATTATGAGCTCTATATATGGGAGACCGTATATTGTGTCCGAAGAAGCTCATAACACATTTTTTTTTTTTTTTTTTTTTTTTATTGCCTTTGTAGTCAGACGAGCATACGGCCCACCTGATGGTAAGTGGTCACCGTCGCTCATGGACGTCAGCAATGCCAGGGGCAGAGCTAAGCCGCTGCCTACCACATTCCCGGTAGATGGCAGAGACCCGTTTTTGGATGTTTAGCTCTATTAGAATGGTCTCGTTAGTTCTCATGGCAGCCCCCATAATCTATATATTAATACGAGAAGCAGAAACTTTGTACCCCGTATGAAATTTCCCACACTTATAGAGAATATAGAGAAGTAGTGCAGATACTAATATTTTTTTAAATTATGCATAAAAATACATTAAATCAATAAAAAAAACATCACACACTACTATGTATTTAACACACACACGCATGCGTACTATTTGTTTATTATCAAATTAATCTTATTGCCTATAGTCTGTTGTCAAATTGAGAGTAGATTAATTACTGTTTGCCTTTATTAATATTTGTCTATAGTGTAGTTTTGGCGAAATCTGTGAATATAGAAGTACAATAATATTTGACAATAAAATCATAATATTGAAATTTATAATTTCAATTAATTATAGTCGAATTTCGACTACAGGGGACCACTAGTTTAATATCTATATATTAATACGTGAAGCAAAAACTTTGTATCCCTTTTTATGAAATTTGCGCGGACGGAGGAGTATAAAATTTTGCACACTTATAGAGAATATAGAGAAGAAGTGCACAATGCTAATATTTTTTTTAAATAATGCATAAAAAATACATTAAATCAATAAAGAAAACATTACACACACTACATACCATGTATTTGACGCACACACGCATGCATACTATTTATTGTCAAACTTTTGTTCTTGACGTTTGTTGTCAAATTGAGAATAGATTAAATATTGTTTGTCTTTGTTAATATTTTTTATAGTGTAGTCTTGACGAAATTTGTGATTATAGAAGTATAAAATACAATCATAATAGTGTACAAACTTACAATTCCAATTAATTATAGTCGAATTTCGACTACCAGGGGACCACTAGTATAATATATTATTATAATACGCGACATTTATCTTTGTAATTAAATGTGTGTTTTATTTAGTATTAATTTCAACGGTTCAATTAGGTTTAGCCCATTGGTAATAACTCAAGAAGTTTTTTGTTATGATATTAATATTACCCTCCTATAAATGTTTTTTAAATCAAATAACCTTACACTCGGCGATATATTCATTCAAAATTACTAGCCCCTGATATACTATAAGTAGATAAGTACTTATACAAATCTCACTGTGACCAACAGACATACGTTCATTCACAAGGTTTCTGTTTGGATTGTGAAACGGCCGCAATATTACAGTTCATCTCAACAATACTTGATATATAGACACGGAGGCCAGGAATTAATCTAAGACCGGCACAATAGAATCTGTATTGTGTGCTGAGACGAATAAAATGAACCAAGACGTTATTTAGTTTCAAGATTAACGTACATCGGTCAGCGTTGTTGGTTTATATTAAGCATTGTGAAAAACTGAAGCGGTTTTTAAATGAACTAGAGGTCCCGCAGTAGTCGAAATTCGACTATAATTAATTGGAATTGTAAGTTTTTACACTATTATGATTGTATTTTATACTTCTATAATCATAAATTTCGCCAAGACTAGACTATAAAAAATATTAACAAAGACAAACAATAGTTAATCTCAATTTGACAACAGACGTCAAGAACAAAAGTTTGACAATAAATAGTATGCATGCGTGTGTGCGTCAAATACATGGTATGTAGTGTGTGTAATGCTTTCTTTATTGATTTAATGTATCTTCCAAGCATTATTTTTAAAAAAATATTAGCATTGTGCACTTCTTCTCTTTTTCTCTGTAAGTGTGGAAAATTTCATACTCCTCCGTCCGCGCAATTTTCGTAAAAAGGGATACAAAGTTTTTGCTTCACGTATTAATATATAGATTTAAGATAAATGTAGCTACAGCGAAGAAAGTGGCACGACACGAGAACCCTCTCATCGTGGCCCCCGGTAACTACATTCCCGATCCTGCGGACAGAATGGAAAGCAGTCGGCGTCACCCAAAAAACGTCATTTCGGATCCTCCCGATCCACTAACGGAGCTTTTAGGTACCTCAAGCACCGGTCATCGTTCTCGTCGAACCCGTCGCTTACGACGAAGGGTTCGACGAGTAAATTAACCCACAGACAAAGCCCACTGAGTTTCTCGCCGGATCTTCTCAGTGGGTCGCGTTTCCGATCCAGTCGTAGAACTGCTCTTTCTAGGGTCAGCGTAAGCATCACTCCGGTTTGAGCCCCGTGAACCTACTAGTTAAGGTTACACTGAAATAGCCTCTCAAGGCTATCAGCCTAAGCAGGAAAAAAAAAACCTTTTGTTTTTCTCGCAAAATAATGTATCATATTATTTTATTTTCAGGATCGCATGAATTAAGCAGTCTGAAAAATCTTTCAGAAGTTCGCTACACGATAGCAAAGAAGTTACAAACTACCATTATCCAAAACAGTACTGTTATACAAGTAAGTTTACGTATATGATTGTTCGGAGTTTTTTAGTTTCCAACGAAAGTAGTTACACTTATTCGGAAGTGGCCTTTTTCATTGAAATTCTCAATATCAGGGGTACAGCAAAGATTATATCCGTGGACTGAGTGTCAAACCTCCAAGTATAACATGTCAAAGAGAAAGACGACATCATTTTTGATGATAGTATTGTTTTTCACCTTCGAAAACTGTCCATCTTATGCAGTATTCCGAGATACTTCTATAAAAAAAAAACACAAATGTCATAATATAAACCCTCAGAAAGTCATTTAAATGTGATAAAAAAACTTTCCTAAAATTCGTCCAGCTTTAGAAGACGAAACAGGAAAATACAGTGTACATTTTAAATAATGTAAATTCATGTTGCAACTGTCCTTTTCTTTTACTATTCCAATGAAACGACATAGTTTTTTTTTATCTAATTTTTTTAATTTTCCGCCTTATTTCCCGAAACTGTTCTGAAGAAAGATCTTGATGTCACAGAACTGAAGAAGTTTCGAAAAATAACTTAATTCCACAGTTCAATACAAGTGGGAATGAACCACAAAATAAAAAATAAAAAACATTTCTTTAATAGGATTCAACGTTAGATTTCCTAAAAACAATCGAAGTGGATCTGAAGGAGTACGAGGACAACTACACGGAGTGTATGAAGCATTTGAACAACAAGGAAAAGAAGACTTGGACGTTTTGGAATGCAATGTTTTACGCGGGAACTATTTACACGACTATAGGTAATTAAAAAAATAATTTATTTCATTAGTACCTAACTTACCTTATCTTACCTTTCCATAGAATGTACTCGAATCATTTCAATCAACCACAACCTGATATTAACAAAGCAAATACAGTTTTAAGAAGATTCCAATCCGTAAAATTCTTCTCACGAATCTAAACTAACCTCTTTGTATTTTCGCGGTATTAATCTTGAATTTTATACTGTCAGTCATATAATATTATTTCTGACGTTTCGAATATATTACAGTTTTCCGTCCACTAGTTTTAGTTTTGTGTTACTAGTCTAATAGTCTAGATATAAATATAGTTTTAAATAAACTACGTATAATGTCATGTGTTAAACGCGATGTCACTAAAGACTCATTGTTTTCGTGTATTGTAAGCTGGCTTTTAACACTAAAGACACAACGCATGTAAAATATTATAGATTTTGTAACACGCTTAATAATAAGGTCGTAGAATATAGCAGTTTTATTGAAATCAGTTACGCGTATTAAAAATCGGGGCAAACAATAAAACCTGAAATGGAACCTTTAGCAATCCCTTGGAATAAAATTTGCTGAAACATTTGTGTCAGGCGTTGTTAACGCAAAAAATATGAAACGTGGTAGCAGAGTAAAATCTGAAAAGCTTTGTTTTCCTCTCAGTGCATCCGTTTCTAACACGTACAAAGCTTTACGGAGAAGCATTTCGTTTGTTTGTTTTATTTTAAAAGGTAAATCTAGAAGCGGGGACCTTTTCTTTTTGCACGTTCAAAGAATTTCAAGCCATTAAAACTGAGAATTATTTGTTGTTCTGCACGTTCTTAAAGTAATCATTTAAACACAACAGAAATGCTTTGTTATAAATTGATATGTTATATGTACTCATTTCTCATAATGTTATAATCGCATTGAGATTCGTAACTCAAAAACGACCTATAAAAAAAAATTAACCCAAGCACAATTAGGTAGGAGATTAATATCTAAAATGACAAATGTTGTAATACACATCTATAACACGCAATACAAGATATAAAAGTATAAATTATACAATTTCAATAAAAACGGCATTTTACAATAGCATTTTAAATGCAATTTTATTTTTATCGCTTTTGTCAGAATACGTCGTACGGTTATAACTGGCCGATGTTATTATTTTCGGTGCAAACTTGCAAACATAAACGTAGCGATCTGAATGTAGGTATGGTTTTATATTTGGAACTCTGCCCGGCGGGAATGGCGCTTCAGCTCAGTTCAAGAGAGTTTCAATCGTCGTGTGTATTTTAAAAAAAAAACAGTGTCTTTCACGTATAAGTCGTCGAGGAGTGTCGCGATGTTCCATTATATATGATACATAAGTGCTTGATCATCATTAAATACAACGGGGATGGGTCGTGCGATATTGAAGTATTGTTTACTTCGGAATTTCATGGAGGGCGAAAATAGAAATGTACAGTAGAGGATTGATTTGACCCCATTACTAAAAAAGAAGTTTCCGTGAATGGGCAGGCGGAAGGTAAGTTCACACTGCACCTTAAGTACTCGTTCTTGGCTTCAGAATAACTATATTGAGCACGTATGTCATAATAGTATTGGCAATCGATTAATCATACATTGCCAACTATCATTCATCTATCAGTGGCTTAAAGTTGCTTGCAGAGTTCATTTGCCCTAGCAATCAACAGTTTTAATAATTAATATCTTTTATTTTTAGGTGTTTTGAAGAAACAGTGTGTGGTAATGAGTGAGGAACGAAACGATAGAAAAAAACTTACATTGAAAATACCAACAATAAAAGCAGAATCCGAAGTTCAAACTGTTGAACAATTAGTTCCTAAAACGACAGATATAACATTGACCGAAATGGAATCGGGACAAGAAAACCAAGGCACGTCGCTTAGAAAAAGAAGAAATTTATCAAAAAACAGGGGCCAAGCAGCTAGACAACGTGAAAAAACACCAGAACCCAGCAGAACTCCCGTACCTCATGAAGATACAACTACTTCAGACGATGAAGAAATGAAAGCACCTCCGAGTCCTAGAGAAATAGAAGCTGATGATACGTATGAGGAGATGAGGCGTCTGGTTCAAGAACAAGCAAACACGAAAGATCCTGTTTACGATTTAGACACGGAGAAGTTACTTGAAGAGAGAGCAATTGCAGCAAACGAAAGAAGACGCAGAAGTATTTCACCGTTTGCATTACCGGACAAAGATGAATTGAATAAACTACAACGTAAAGGAAGCTTTATTGATCCTAGTAATAAGTTGCTATCTTCAAATTATATAGTAAGCCCAAAGGATGAAGACAAAGGAAGACGAGGATCCGTCGAAACTCCTAAGGAAATCTTTCTTTCATCAGGAAGCAGTTCACCAAAAATAGATAGTGACAGTCTACAGTCTGTGCCCACAACACCCAAGAAACTACAAGAAATTGTTTATCCAGATGAAAAAATGTTTGAAGATATGTCCAAGAAACCAAAAACCCCGGTGAAAGCCGAAAATATATTTTCATTTGATGGTAAGCAGGGCAATGTGAGTACCAAGTCGTCTTCGCCTATCAGGTCAGAACTGCCATCTCCAAGCGAGACAGGCGCCAAAGTTGTTCAAGTCGAACGATCATCAAGCAAGAAGCTATTACAGGAGAAAAAGCCTGTTGTCGAAGTCAGAGAAAGAATCGTAAGAACTCCGAGTAGAAAAACATCAGCTGAAAATAAGCCAATCGTGGTAAAGCAAATACACAAACATGGTAAAGATGAACATGGCAAAGTCCCTCCAGTGAAACCTGCTCGGAGCAAATCAGTATCAAGATTAGGGGTCAGTTTCTATGCAAAAATATTTCTTGTTCTACTAGTCGCTTTGTTAATAGCAGTGTATTTTTTACTCACATAAAACAATGTGAAATATGATGATTAATATACAGTTTGTTTAGTACAGTAGAGATAGTGAAGAAACTAATAATGAGTATAATACAATTTTACAGAATAAAACTAGTGAGAGTGAAATGAGTGAAGATCAAGGAAACCAACGAAATCTTGCAGCTTCATCAAAACGTAGAGCTGTACCACCACCGCGACGGTTTGTAAAGCATTCACCAAGAGCTAACCGTTCGCAGTCAATCCATAAAGTTGAAGACTTACGAGCAGACAAATCAGAAATAGGAATGAGTCAAACGAGTCGGGAAATAATGGAGTTAATGCAGAAAGCCAGAGCTAGAAGTCTATCGATCCCTAAAGATGACCCAAGATTACCGGTTGAATATAGAAAATTTAACCGAAATTTGAAAACCCCAAATAAAACGCCTTCAGAGACTCCTAAGAGTACTAGAGGAATTTCTTGTCCGAAAACAATTCAAATAATTAGTGACAAAGAGATACTCGCGGGACTTTATACAAAACAGAATGATAACTTAAGCAATGGTGGATATAGTAGACAAAGTTCTGGATATATAGACGCAAGTCAGTCTGAGGTAACTTCCAGTTGTTATTCATCTTCACCAAGTGGAAATGAATTCGATTTTGATTTGTCTGAACGGACTGCTGAACTAACTCGCAAGCTAAATATACTGAGCCAAGAAGTAGACCAAAGACAAGATAAGAACAATATTATTTTATCACGAGATGACAACTATTTTAGGAGCAACGAAATCGAACAAAGGTCAGGTCTAAGAAAAAGATCGCTGGTTGGCACAAAAACAGATGAAAAAAAAGATAAAGCTAGAATTACACAACAGAGGAAGAGTAAACAAAAATCGTCACCTGATAGTAAAAAAACGAGATCAAAGTGGAATGTGATCGGGAATTGGCGACAGTTCAAACACGAGCAAAGAATTGAATATGAAAAGATAAAATTGTTGAGGAATAGGTGTTTCTGTGACATGCTTTTGGTAGTTATGCTGTGTGGTTCAGGTGCGATGATGTTCAGGTATTTTGAGGCGTCGTTTGAGAATACCTTTAAATGTGGAAGTCGGAGTGTTAAAAGANCGAGATCAAAGTGGAATGTGATCGGGAATTGGCGACAGTTCAAACACGAGCAAAGAATTGAATATGAAAAGATAAAATTGTTGAGGAATAGGTGTTTCTGTGACATGCTTTTGGTAGTTATGCTGTGTGGTTCAGGTGCGATGATGTTCAGGTATTTTGAGGCGTCGTTTGAGAATACCTTTAAATGTGGAAGTCGGAGTGTTAAAAGAGACTTCCTCGAAAGTCTGTGGCGGGGCACTCAATACTTACGGGAAGACGACTGGAAATCTATGGCACGAAAGAAATTATATGAATTCGAAAATCAGTTGCATACCGCGTACGAAGTAGGTGTTACGTCTTACAGTGGGCAGAGGTCTTGGAATTTCATGAACTCTTTCATCTACTGCTTTACGTTAATGACAACGATTGGTAAGAATAATTTAAATAAAATGAAAAAAAAGAACATGTTTTTCTTCTTAAAATTTTTAAACTAAGATTGAGAAGATTCGTTAACGAAATAAATTTTTCTTGTTGAGCTAACAACTCACTTACATTAACCACCTTTTTCTAATTTTATTGCCGAAGGCTTAAGGATTTCTCACGTTTTTTGAATTGCAAAGTTACAAAAATAAAAAAATTGCAACACGAGTCGAAATTAAACTCAATAGGACTAACATAATGGCAATTATACCCTTCAATAATCAATTTATGGCAGCTATACGGGCGAAATATGAACGGCATTTTTAAAAATTCATATCCAAATAAAATACTAAGAAAAATTTAATAACTCATAATGCAGTCGTGAAAATTATTCTACAACCTTAATTTTAGGTATATTATTATCAACCATGGTATTTCCGTCGGAGTATCTCGGACTTTTTCTTTTCTATAGACACCTCCACCGGTCGTTCTAATCATAAATCCGACAATACCTTACATTTGATTACATACCATAAGTACTTTACCATAAGTAATTTCGAAAAGGGCACATCTCTGAAAATGTAAAATGTTCAGGAAATGAAAAAAAATTATTATTTGTAAAGCAGTGTAAAATTTAAATTATTAGCTTTTGAGTGTTAATTAGCAATTGAAAATTACTAGAATTATTATAAAATGGGTGTAGTTAAGCCTCAAAACTACATGTATATTAAAAAACGTATTTGACAAGATATGCGACATGTGCCCTTTTCGAAATTGCATATTCAATTGCTATGTTGTTTTTAAAGTCCAACGATGCTTTTTCCAGGTTACGGTCACATAGCTCCGAAGACGAGTTACGGTCGGGCAGCGACTATTGTATACGCCATTATCGGAATTCCACTATTCCTGATAGTCCTCGCCGACTTCGGCAAACTGTTCACGAGGATCATCAAATTCTTCTGGTCGTTCATTAGAAGATTTTACTACACCAGAAGCTGCAGGAAAGTTAGAAGAACGGTGCCAGTGCAAGTACGTCATAATTCTAAAATTTATCTATCAGTGATTTAAAGTAGATCAAAAAATTTTTTGAGAGGTTGTCACTCAATTATTGATGCGTTAGTAACTTAACTGATTCTGAAGCCAATTTAGATTTAGGATTTAGATTAGATTTTTAATTTAGTTATAATGTATTCTTGTAAACACCAAGATGTAGCATAGACAAGTGTATTAATTTTCGTATGAACCAGGTAAAGCGTGTGGAAATTTAAGTCAAATTGACTTCGAAAATGTTAGAAGCACTCAATAGGACAAATTAATATTATAATGCAAACTACTAAATATTTATACATATATAATTCTTCTGTGCGTGTGTATGTCACTGAACTCCTAAACGACTGGACCGATATGAATGTTTTTTTTGTATGCGTTTGAGTGACGCCCTGGATAGTTTAGATTCACAAATCAGCCCGGCAGATGGCAGTGCAGTCGGCATCTAGCCTATTTATCTATACTGCAACTTAACGTCTGGATCGACTTAAATGATTTTTTGCAGGACAATGTCTGTCGGGTCCGCTAATGTATGATATTAAATACCCGCTTATTAAGACAACTCGGGCACCACATACCGTGCATTAAAGTAGGGGAAAATCTCGTTGAAGTCAACATCTTCAAAGTATCAACTCAAAGAACACAGAACCCAAGAGACATTAAAACGCGTTAGACTACCTCAATTGGTTTTCTAATGAGTGCTATGACATAGGCTACTTTAAATCCTTTTTGAAAACACTTCTTAGTGGTAGGCAGCAAGCACCTTGTATTAGGGTAATAAATTATATGGTAATATAAAGCCGTGAATAACAACTAATTATTGAATGAATAAAAAATATTAATTTCAGAAACAAGTCCATATGTGTAGGTATATAGAATCATTGAAATAAATTTAAAATTTCCAAAAATAAAAAAAATATATATTGAAATTATAAAAAAAACATTATCAGTTGAAAACTTTTAAATATTTCCATTCTGCTGATACTTATTTAGATCAACCATTATTATTATTATTTAGTCCGCCAGTGAATTGTTAATTTTTAAAACACTACCAGTACCTAAACTCAATTTATACAACGGTTAGATAAGGACTATTTAGAAATTTTCCGTTCAATTAGCGACGCGTACTTTATTTAGGTAGGTACGGCTTGGATCATAATTACGCGGCTCACCACAGCTTGTTACGCTACCTCTATACTACACGATGCTTTTGTTTGAAAATCAAACAAGTAAATTCGTTGAAGCCATTAAATTGAAGGCAAATTCTGAACAATTTAAAATGATTTTTACTGGAGGAGCTCTTGTGAGTCCGCACGGGTAGGTACCACCGCCCCGCTTATTTCTGCCGTGAAGCAGTAATGCGTTTCGGTTTGAAGGGTGGGGCAGCCGTTGTAACTATAATTGAGACCTTAGAACTTATATCTCAAGGTGTGTGGCGCATTTACGTTGTAGATGTCTATGGGCTTCAGTAACCACTTAAAACCAGGTGGGCTGTGAGCTCGTCCACACGTCGAAGCAATAAATAAAAAAATATTTAGAGTTTTGATAGCTTCTCACGGCTCCGAGACTTCTCTATAAAAATAGATGATGGAGATTGTAAAACGAATTTAAAAAAAAAACCTTACGAAAATTGGTATGTTTTAATTTTTTTATTTCAATATTAGTAAACAATAAGGCGCAGTACTTAATCAACTTTATTATTCAAATAAAATCGCGTTTAGAACAAACGTTTTTTTTTTAATAGAGGGTTCCGCTCTAGGCTACGTGCCTTCTAACTAAGAGTCTTTGTGATGTTAAAAAATAATACGAAGCTTAAAAAATGAAATCAAAGAATCTCATTTTCTTGAATTACAGGAAGTTATGAAAGGTCTCAACATAGTTTACGACGTGGTTCGACGTCCGTCTCAAATATTTTCCGAAGAAGAAATTTTACCAGACCAGCCACCGCCAATCGAAAGAAGATCTAGTGATGTCCCCCCACCACTACCACCAAAGCCTGGAACAACTCGAGATCCTGAGAACGAGACTGAACCTGAAACACCAGCACCATCAGTTTTCGAAATAGACGATGAATTTAATTTACCTATATCAGTTGCCATTATCATTCTAATTATTTACATAATTATGGGCGCCACCATATACTATACTTGGGAAACCTGGAGTTTCTTTGAATCATTCTATTTTATCTTCATATCCATGTCGACTATTGGTCTCGGAGATCTAGTTCCCGATAACCCAATGTTCATGATGGCTTCCATTTTGTACCTTATTTTTGGATTGGCTTTGACATCAATGTGTATTAACGTAGTACAAGTAAAGCTATCTGACACGTTCAAACAAGCTAGTGCCAAATTAGGGGCTACGATAGGTCTGAAAGTAGCTGAAGAAGATGGTAGTTTGGTCCCCATTACTCCTCCTCCGACAGAAATTGTACCAGTACATAAATCTAAAACTAAAATTGAGGACAACTGTAAAGGCGATGATCAAAATGACGATAAGAATAGATAAGTCACGATTGAATAGACGTCAAAACCACTGGTCAAAACATGGTCAAAACCAACTCAATTAGGATGTCAAAAACGATTTTTTGTCACAATGATAGTGATTCCATAATAGATTATGTACTGGAATAAATTGTAATGAATATATCTAATTCTACAGTCGGCTTGCATTAAGATTCTTAGGATTACATTAATCTTACGAAAATATAAAAGCGTATTAAAGTTTAACAAGTGCCTTAATAAAATTATGATTATTACTTTCTTAAATTACCTAGCAAGATAAATACATTGTAAGATTTTGTATTATTTACATTAAATACTTTATGAACTAGGTTTGTAAATGATGAAGAGTCAATATTGTCTTGTTAAATTTATAAATTTCGCTAAAGGGTTTGATAGTTTCGCTGAGTAATCTAGTCATAAGTTGCGACTCTGTATTGCCATAAATGTATATGAAAAGTGATATTATTTTGTATTTTATATTATACATTGTTTTGTGTGTGTCAATAAAGATTTTAGTGCAAGCTGCGGTTTATTTTTCATCAAAATATTTACTAATTATTATGAGTTTCTGTTTTCCTGTGGACATTTTAGTGGTAGGCACAAATAAAGTTTGAAATTATCTGACACAGCAAAAATCAGTTATTATTTTTGGTCGCCACCCAGCACTATTGAAAGGGCTCTTTGATTCTGAAACACGGTTCGTCACTTGAACCATTTAGGGCAACAAGGAAAATTAATTTAGGCTCGTACGGTCTAAATAAAATGGAAAAAAATGATTTTCATTGTTGAAGTTTTATTCAGGTTCGAGTAAGTAATTAGGTGAATAATTTTTGGAGAATTAATTATGAACTAGTTCTATCTATACTAATATAATAATATATCTTCAGTGGTTTTTACGGATGTTCCGTTATAACTACTGAACCATGCATCCGATTGACTTGAAACTTTGTATCCATGTAGAAAATACATGTACCTAATGGATAGACTAAAATTTATACAGGTGTTGGACTCCCTAATAATAATGATAATAAATAATAATGTTAATTTTAAATGCGCAGCGAAGCGGGTGAGTACGGCTAGTATACTTGAGTCGTCTATTATCAAAGGTGGCAATCTGTGCATTTGAACAAAAAAATGTTATTGATATGTCAATACAGATTGATTTGAATATAATCGTCTCCTTCAAAGAATACGGTTCAAAACCTGCATTATATAAAGGTCAATATGTAACCTGTTATTTATCTAAGATGTCGTTCAGAAGAGTTTTGTGACTGCCAATGGAATACAAAGTCAATAATTCGTTTTTCTGATTTACCAATAATTGTCCAATAGTCACATTGCCGGCTTTGATAATAGTCGACTCACTTATAATAATTGCTCAAACACAAATATTATGCTACTAACATACCAACCGAATGAATTGAATAATTTGAGAAATCAAACCCGACAAGAGATTTTGATAAGTAAACTTCGGATTGTGGAATATAATTTATTTTAACAATCGTTTCCCGAGCAAAGATTCATTTAAACTTATCCAAAATTAGATTCTCAACAAGTCGTCAAGTTGTTTGTAACCTGCTGACGAAGTTTCAACAAGAACAAGAAAAAGTTCAGCAGGCATCTTAAGCGTTACATTTCCGACCATTTTTTCCACGTCTCCAACTTTTCTTTTCGACTTCAGCGAAGGCATTTCGTGGGAGGATGTTTTTAAGATCAGTTAATTAATGGCTTTCCAAGACAGTCGAATCCCATTTAAGGTGTTTTAAACTAGTTTCAAAAGCACGAACACCCATTAAATCTTTCAATAATTTCATGGATCCTTCTAATTTATATTTCAAATGAAACATTTTCGCGTTAATGTACTCTTCAATGGTATCGTTTCCGTAATACTGAGACATCACTACAAGTAATTTTCTTTCGACGTCGAATAATTCATGAAGTGTGCCATTACACAATTTCATATTCATTACAGCGTTATTCGTATTAATGAGATTCTTCTGATTTGCATAATATTGTAAAGACGAGAGCCCGTGTTTTTCACTTTCAAAATAATATATAACGTTTTCGTGGATTTTGAGAAACTCACTAAGATAGTTATAAAGTTCACATCCATCAAAAATGCAAGATGAATAATTTGTTTTTTCAATATCATGGATTACACAATGCAGACTATCACTGAAATCAGTCTGAAGGTATTTGTTGAAAAAAGTACGAAACTCCATTTCCTTGATATCATTATTGTATGATAGGTGGCCTTCATTGAATTTTCGAATGAGAAGCAAATTTAATAGCAGGCTTGGGATCGAAGCGGGCAAAAGTTCACAGAGAGGGTCAAAATGGCTGTACCTCGACCACCCAGTTAATATAATTCCGACAAAACTATGAAAATTTGTTTCACCTCCAAATTTATAGTTGGCTATCAGCTTTAACCAGTTTAGATGATTTAAAAACCGATTTTTCAGATTAGGTATTGTGCTTAGACGCCCATCAGCACCTTTAAAGGCTGTAGCTATCCAAATGTTATCAAATTTTCGGTGATATTTCAGCAAGTTAACATGCGAAACGCTGCTATTAGCTCCGTAATCCCAATAAACGGTTTGAATCTTATTAAAATATCCGATCTCGTTCCACGATTTCAGTTTGATGCTACGAAACATATCATCCCAAATAAGTACTGTTGTTTCAGGATTTATGTCTTCAACTATTTGTTTAATCTTTCGTATGTGTTTGATGAATATGTCCCTGAAACAATGTTATTGTATTATAATAATAATAATAATAATAATAAAGCCTTTATTCAGACAATTACATTTTTTTTTTTTTTTACATATACAGTAATTATTTCTTTTTTTTTTTACTATGTTTTAAGTAAGTAGTGGTATTAATTTTATTAAAAAAAATTTATTGGAAGCTTTTTTTTTTTACCTATGTTATTATTAGTTATTGTCTGTTTGTCTATTATAGACATAGGCCTCCTCCAACTGCCTCCATAAGCTTCTATTTTCAGCTGTTCTGGTCCATGTGCTTCCCGCAACTGCCTTAATGTCGTCCACCCATCTCCTAAATGGTCTACCTCGGTTTCTTTTTCTGTCTCTCGGATACCAGTACATTATAGTTTTACACTATGTTATTGTATTAAAAACTTTAATTTGGAGAGAATTTCCATTCCTTGTTGTAATTCTTTCAAATAATTTATTAAGCAACAAACTAATTAACTAATACACATATTTTGAGTCAACGACTATGCTCTCAGTCGACTGTGCACTAAACGAAATTAGTAGTGGCATTTGTTTGAGGAAAATTACGTTTTCTCTAGATTGAAAACTATTTGGAAACATAGAATCACTTCTGTATCGAATTTTCTCGAATATATTCATAGATTTTCGGTATTGAATACATCGAGACGTTTTACATTGTTACGCTTGATAAATAGTTAACATTTGGTACTCACGTATTGGAAAAGTTTTCCCGTGAACATTCATAGCATTTGTTGATATGAAATACTTCGTCGCATCCGATGTGAATGAACTTTAGCGGCGAAATGTTTTTGTGGAAATTCACCATCTGAAATCCGTCGATGTAGCGAAAATGAATTAAATTATAGAAAAATGAAATGAACGCTTTTTTCGTTCAAGGCTTTGAAAAATTATTAATAACGTGTTTTAAATGTGAATTTAGATATGTTTGTCATTATTTTGTTAATTAAGGCAATTCAAGAGCATATGGCATTCATTGGTGATTAAACATGGCAGCACCAGGTACCCGCAATGTAAAAAAATGTGTGCGTGTACTAGTGTACACACGTAAGAAGTGAAACTTCTTTATGGCCTTATTTTTCGAAAAATGATCTACATGCAACTTTCTAGAAATTGGTTAAATAAAGTTAAATTAGATAAAGTTTAAACAAAAGGATTTTATTATCATAGACATGAATACAAAAAAGTTAAATTAGATAAAGTTTAAACAAAAGGATTTTATTATCATAGACATGAATACAAAAAAGTTAAATTAGATAAAGTTTAAACAAAAGGATTTTATTATCATAGACATGAATACAAAACAGATGGCGCGTAACGGAAAAAAGTGACGCGTAACCGAAAAATGTGACGGTAAATTTTTTTCCAACGCCGATAAGGAAGTTTCACTTCAAAAATTGAAAATTTGTTTTTTTTCATTATTTGAATGAAGAGACGCACTATTGTCTTAGTATTTCATAACAAGAATTGAAAGTTACTAATACGATGGTTCATTAAGGAAATGCGTACTCGGATTTCTAAGAGCCACTACCGAATCAAATAATCAACCAGTAGGCTTAGTATAGGTACATACGAAAACAAAACTATTGTATGTATACCAAACCCATTGCTTCTCTAGATGAGCAATAGCTGGTTTATTACATTTGTATTTATGAACAAACTCTGTTTTAGTTTAAACTAATACCCAGCGTTAGAAATAAATTTCAAGAAGCCTAATAAATATTTAAATAAAAACTATCTTAAAATTCAACTAGTAAATACCCAGACATAATTCTGTTTGCGTAATTTAAACTTTTAAAAACTTTGTCGACACGAAATTTATCGTGAAAACATGTTGTGAAAACAAAAACGAATTTAAGTTTGAATCTTAAATAACACTTCTCTTCGTCAAAACTAATTAGCAAGATTAATTAATATTTCATAAACATTAAAATGTAAAAATATTTACTATCTGGTCTCATGGTATTTTATATTTCATGAAACCTCGTCCCAAGAAGCAATATAATATAGGTGTGATTAATCTTTGGCTTAGATGATCTCTTGGGTAACGTATGTAGTGTTGATGACACAGAAAGCAATAGAGCCGACCATGTGTACAGTGATGTCCAATAACCGATCTTATAAATTTTGTGAAATAATAATAAAATGCAAAAATATAAAAAAGCTAATAAAGCCGGCTTAGGTTACTGTTGATTATGAATATATAAAAAAACAAATGAAATTTGATACTGTTATTTTATCGGTATGTATTTAAAATCTAAATTTCAGTGTAAATGCTTATAAAAATGAAATACAAATCAAAGAAACAAAAACGGATGATGTAAAAGAAACAGCAAAAGTAAAAATACAAAAAGTCCCCCCCTATGGCACGTTGAAATTGATTTACTAATGCAGATATAAGCCAAAGCAGGATAGACGTCATACAGGCGTACGATCGTAAAACTCATGCCCAATCCTTATTTATAGATAGATAAGAGGACATACTGGACTGACCTTACATAATGAGGGATGAAGGCAAGAAGAAGAAAGTACAGTTGATTGTGACGTTCAATTAAGTAACATCAAATTTTGATTTAATGCAATTGAAATCTGAAGAGTTATCGTAGCCGAGATTTAGAAAAAGGAACTCGGGAGCAGAAGGAAGCCAGTTTAAAATACAATATACCAAGGTGAGGACCTTGCTATGTCTTAGTTAAACAAAAAACAATAGCCATAGCTGTAACCGGAATTCAAAACTGAATATAGAATTTGTAACAAATTTCTATATTGCAAAACAACTGATCGAGCTTAGGACATATCACAAAGTTAATAGCCCACCTTTGGACATGAGACCTAAGTCTCAGTCTTTGTATAGTAATACTGCTATCCCACAGCCTTCAAACGGGAACGTATTACCGCCATCCACCTTGAGATATCAATTCTAAGGTCTCAGTATAGTTACAACGGCTGCCCCATACTTCAAACCGAAACGCATTATTGGTTCACGGCAGAAATAGGCAGGGTGGTGGTATCTACCCGTGCGGACTCACAAGAGGTTCTACCACCAGTAATTACGCAAATTATAATTTTGCGGGTTTGATTATTACTACACGATGTTATTCCTTCACCGTGGAAGTCAATCGTGAACATTTGTTATGTACGTATTTCATTACAAAAATTAGTACTTGCTAGCAGGATTTAATTTTATTTCATTCAATCTATGAGATGATGATAATACACGTTAAAAACTGACCTGAATCAACATTTCTTTGATCAGCATCTGGCTTTCAATCTTAGTAGGGCAAATCGAATCTGGATACTTAGGATCTTCTCTGAGGTGGTAGAACTCTTTTTGTTTTAGTACAAACTCCATGTGTCCAAAGGTTTGTATCAGTGGTATTATTTCGAATCCCAATTTAATTGCCCCTCTCAGAAATCTTTGCAGCTGAAATGTGAAATCTAATTAATAACTAGATTGCTTAGAGCAAGCTAAAGTAATAATTTATCACGTTATTATGAAATTTATTAAGTTGAATAAATATTATTTTTTTATGATTGAAAGATTACTGGTGGTCCGGGGGCCTTTCCAGCTTCACCAGGACAGGTGGGCGAGCAAAGGCTCAGCCAGGAGGGGTGGGATTTGCTAACAACTGCCCGAGCGCCTCCGGAGGAGACCTAACAACTCAAGAGCAATCAGAATAAATACTGTTAGGGTATACTTTGACTCGATCATTTAAACTTCCAACTACTTGATTACGGTTACGTATTGTAGAATTTTATATAGAGAATTAAGCCGGGAATAATGTTTATATTATTTAGCTGTGTAAATAATTCAAAATACATCTGTATACAGAAAAAGACGAGAGTTGTTCCTTTTAATTTCTTTGTCCTTGCAGATACGTCAGTCCCACAAAATTGCATCGATTTAAATTAACACCTAGTCTAGTCTTGAAGATGTTATCTTTCGTTAAAATAATTTGTAAAATATCTCGATTTTTGCAAACTTTTCTTTATTAATATTAGAAATTTCAGAACAACTGATATACATTTGTACTCCTTAGTCACTAAAATTGATTTTTTCCTAATTAAAAAAAGAAAAATTTCAGCTTATGAATTCCAGTCTATGTAATACTGTACGAAATACATCTGAATGAGTACATTATTAACTTCAATAATGCTTCGAACTTAGAGTTTACATCCTTGTGACGCCACCTGTTTGGAGACCTAATAAATCCTCAATGAAAGCGTGGAAATTAAAAAAAACGAATCACTAACAAGTATTTAAATTTGGAAATCGTATAGCTCCATTCGTATTCCCGCTTTTTTAACGCGCAACATTAACTTAAGTTATTAAGTTATATTCTTATATTAAAATCTAAATTAAATCCGCTTTTTTCACTGGTATCGCGTCATATCAGAGCATTCAATTAACATTGTGTATTGCCCGCCTCATTATGGAATCCTACCACTGGGAGGACAAACAGTTCCGTTATAACTACTGAATTATGCATCCAATTGACTTGAAACTTGGTATCCATGTAGAAAATATATGTACTTAATGGATAGGTTAATATTTATATGAGTGTTGGACTCCCTACACCAGTTGCGGGTGCGTTAATGATGTGAATTTTTGTGGGGGTGAGAAATAATAATGTTAATTTGAAATGCCCAGTGAGGTGGACAGGTACAGCTAGTAAACTTATAAAAATACTTACTTCAATTTTATCGTAACAATTCTTCGCCCTTAAATTAACGAGACGGCCCTCGTACGGAAACATATCTTCGTATTCCACAAGCAGGCCATTAGCTCCGTGTTTCTTTAGTATAGGCAAAAGATCCTCTAAATAATTGAGGCTCGGAGGCGAACCTTTCAGGTCTAAATGTACAACGACGTACCGCAAGATAGCCCTTCTTAAATTTTTATTTTCACGCGTATACCGTATCTCAAGAAATAAATACGATACGAATACATACACAGATAAAATAATTGTTATTAATAAAAAAAAATTCAGTTTTATTATTCGAATTTTTGATAATAAACGCATCTCGTCCGCCGCAGTTATTATAACATAGTTTTGTTCTTAGAAAATGTCATTTACTTCCGTTGGGATTACTCACTGAAGTGGCACTTTTTTTTTCTTAATCACAACGAATATGGTTGTAATTTAAAATTAATTTTATTATATTTTGAATAGAAACACGCCAATTATGTTGATTAATATCCTAGTTTCAAGGTTTTATTCAAAATAAAATTTACATTATTCTTGCCGGCGGCACGCGTAATTAACAACTGAGCAAGATAGAACATTGTCACAGTTTCAGCACTTACAAGGCTTCCCCTTAGTTACAATGAGGCTTAACATTGCGTTCGTGTGTATATTTATTGAGAACGCACTCATAATAGTAGGAGTTAAAATATAGAGCTTGCATTTTAATGCAGCGATTCCTTGTAATGAATATCAAAACTGCACCGTTCAAAATTCACGATTAATATAACTAGATGATGACCTTGATTTTTTTTTATATAATGCCATCTTGTTGTCTTTAAAGCAGTTAGTTGCTCTCAATTAAGAAAAATAGTATTATTATTCGCCAATAGATGTCGGGAAGAGTCATAAAGTTGATTATCGATAAGGTTGATTATTGAAAAAACAAATAAAACAACATTTTCTGAAAATAAATCGTAGCTAGATTGATTTATCGCCCCCAAAAACCCCTGTATACTAAATTTTATGAAAATCGTTGGAGCCGTTTCCGAGATTCAGATTATACATTATACATATATACAAGATTATACATATATACAAGAATTGCTTGTTTAAAGGTATAATGATTGTGCACGAATCGCAACAGTCAAAATTGAATTTTGTAACATTCTATGATATTCTACGATATGCCTTTGCCGGTAACTTTAATGTTGCCGTCGCCTTAAGGATGAGATGTCGGATGCACTCGTGTCAAGCGATGCGACTGTGCCAGTATTCGAATTTCGCATTTTTCAACAGAAATATGTATTTTGCGTTCGTTCACAAACGATTTCCAAGATGAAAGGAGGAAAAATCTAAACATCATGGTATAAAAATAAAATCAGCAATCACTTGTGTTAGGGTATAATGTCAGCTCGTTTGGGGAGTTGTCACCATTGTGGCTACATTCTGCGATCTAGTCGAGGCACTAAGAGAGAAAGAGGAGAACGATCTCCTGGATATAACCAATGGAATTTATGTCGTACGCAGAAATATGTGATGCGTAGAGAGAAGATATGTGTGACTAACGGCCGTTTTCAATAACGTATCTGAGTTTTCGGATAGATAGCTATCTCCGAATATCAGCAATAGCGTATCTATCCTTAGTTTGCGTTTCACAATCACGGATAAGTGCTATCTCTCTTTAACCAACAGTAGATAGCTTCTTCCCTCCGATTTATCCGAGCCTCTTGATACGTTTCGTTCTACTACAAATACGAAACAACATCAGGATCAAGACTTATTTTATTTTATTCTAAATTATAACTATAATTTAACCAGCATATTGTANACCGTAGAGTTACTTAAAACTCATATTGAAACGGAAGTAAGCACGATTTGTATGAGCGTTCTATCTTTAGCAGGCTATCCGTCCTCCCGACGATGGATAGATAAATCCGATAGGAACTGCTGCCCGTCGATAGGTTATTGGAACGTAAGTAAGGACAAAAATATAGATTTGTCTATCTTTAGTAACCGAAACTAGGGATAGATAGGTCATTGAAAACGGCCGTAAGAGATGTATGGAAATGGTAGTGTAAGGTAGACGGGGGAAGAGGTCAACCGAAGAAAACATAGATGGAGTGTGTGATATGAGAGAGAGAGAGGAATAAGTGTTAAGATGACGGCTGATAGAAGAGAATGGAGTAGAAAAAATCGCTATGCTGACCACACCTAGTGGGATAAGGTGGAGAAAAAGAAGAGTTGTATGCAGAAATGTAAATCAACAAACCAAGCTTATAATGGAAAGCTAAAACAATTTCATTTGGCACGCTATATTCTATTGAATTACAGTGCAATTAGAAGTTGCTGCATATAGTGTCGGTCCAAGGATTAAACTGGAACGCTCGCGGCGGAGGGCGGCCATTAATGCGGAATCTTGATGCTCTAATCTCGGACGCTATGGCGTGTTAAGGCGGCGAATTCTAGTTTAAATAATCATTATTTGCTTACGTATTTGTTGTCGAATGGGACTAAGTTATTAAATAACATTAAGACGTTTCTCATTCGATTATGTAATTTCTTTTCTGCTGAATTTCGGCCGGTCTAGAGCCCATAGCTATAGTATGAATGACTGCTTCACGATAGAACATATCCTTTCATCAGAAACATCCAAGCACTAAACAAATTAATTTATTGCGTTGAATTTATCTTATTCTAATTTCTATTGTAACCATTCTATTTGTATGGGTACACACCAGACAAATTTTCCGTAACGGGTGCTTCCACATATCCCGAATCTAAAACTGTAGTCGTTATCCATTACTAGTACCACAACTTTCTACTCATTCTGCCATCACTTCATTTATTTTCACCCTCAACTTGATATCTTGACCAAGTCATATACTACAACCTCACTTCCCACAGATTACTTCAACCTTACCAATTAAACATTTTCTAATATTATTGTATATAAAATGTTCTTATACGATTATTTCAGGATAATTTTTCACATTTAAGTATTGATGTCATGGCCCTTAAAAAAACAAATTCCTGATCCATTTGTGCCCGACTTTAATACGTAATTTAAGATTCATATAAAAATACTGAGACAATACATATTGTTTCACAGTAACAAACCAGACGGGCGCCTATATCTGCAAAAGGACTCCGTCTAATCATTGTTCATTAATATCGGAAACAAAACTTCGATTATACAGTCGCGGAGGTCTCCAACTAAACAACTATCTATTCACAAGTTTCTCTCCAACCCGAGAGAGCACAACATTCTGGAACTTTCCAGACTGATTTCGAACACGCAAACGGATTGCGGAGGCCTGCTACTTTCTTCAAGACTTCACAGTCTGTTGATCACTAATTTGTAACGATTTGCTATAACGGGTTTTTAATAATAAATATCACTTAATATTTTATAGTCTACAAATAAGAGAATATATGTATAGAGAGAGAGAGAGAGTAGATAAATAATTCGAAATATTTGAAATAATATATTTAAAAGTCAATTAAAAGTACATGTATTTGTACAGTGTATTTTGAACTCATTTCTACCATCGCAACACACGCCACCAGTTTTTTTTCTTTCCTACCTAAGCTGATAGCCTTGAAAGGCTATGTCAACGTAACCGGGCGAGTAGGTGAGCTCACGGGGGCTCAAACCTGACGTTGTTGCTAACACGAACCCTGGCAAGAGCCGTGCTTCGCAGAATCTACCGCCGGATCGGAAACGCGACCCACTGAGAAGATCCGGCGAGAAACTCAGTGTGCTGTGTCTATGGGTTAGTTTACTCGTCGAGCCCTTCATCGCAAGCGACGGTTTCGACGTGAATGATGACCGGTGCTTGGGGTACCTAAAAGCACCAACCACCAGAGAAATTTTTATCCCTACTCTCTGTAAGTGCGTTTCCAAAGAAAGAAAGAGAACATTAGGTAAAGTTGGGTAAATTGGGTTCATTGAAGTAAATCTTACTGCAAATGAGCTTAGAGAGACCGTCTAGAGTCTAGAGGAAGTGAAGGTCGCATTTCTCGATTATCTGGGTAGAATCCTCGAACTATAATATCACGTCTATACTCCTATTAAACTTGTGGAATATATCTGGCAAACTTTATCGTGACGACCAAACTAATATGCACTCTTGTTGTTTACGAGTTAACATCAAATCTTCATTTAACGAACTCGCATAAGCACTTAACAGACATGAAAGTTTGAAACGTCTTCTCCTTAATATGACTACGTCTTGCCACTCAGCTTGGATCTCTAATTTTATTTGATATAGCAGCATATTTACGTTGGTCCAGATGACGTGCCCATAGTGTAGTCGTTTCATCGTAGTTCATAAGCTTAGGGAATATTACTATCGTGTTTTAAAACGAACTGATGGGTGACTAAATGATGAGTCGCTCGCTGATCTCATTTAGGGCAATGCCTATGTTCAAATCCCGCGACATGGTACCAATTTTAGAAACAAATACAACGGTAGCACGTCTTATGAGTCCGCACGGGTAGGTACTACCACACCGCCTATTTCTGCCGTGAAGCAGTAATGCTTTTTGAAGGGTGGGGCAGCTGTTGTACTTTGTCCCGACTATTTCTTCTACAAAGCATTGTTTTGGGGGGACGGATTGCTCTATAACATACGCTGATTTAAAGAGCTTTTTTCCCCTACCTATGCTGATAGCCTTGAGGGACTATTTCAGCTACTCCTTGACGCGTAGGTGAGCTCACGGGGATCAAACCGGGACTGTTTCTAACACTAGCCCTACCAAGAGCAGTGCTTCACAGAATCTACCATCGGATCGGAAACGCGACTCACTGAGAAGATCCGGCGAGAAACTCAGTTGGCTGTGTCTATGGGTTAATTTACTCGTCGAGCCCTTCGTCGCAAGCGCCGGTTCGACGAGAACGATGACCGGTGCTTGAGGTACCTAAAAGCACCGTTTGTGGTTCGGGAGGATCCGAAATGACGTGTTAAGGGCGACGTCGACTGTTTACTATTTGGTCCGCAGGATCGGGAATGGAAATGGCCATAATAATCCTTTGAATGTATAAAAAGCAAGTAGCAGTACATATGTGAGACACATATCGCTCC